AAGTGTTCCTCACCCAGAACAAAACTGCACAAATAATAAAAAGCTCCTCTAGGGGCTGGAGAGATGGCTCAGAGATTAAGAGCACTGACTGCTCTTCCAGAGGTCCTGAGTTCAATTCCCAGCAACCACATGGTGGCTCACAAACATCTATAATGAGCTCTTGTGCCCTCTTCTGGCCTGTAGGCATACATGCAGGCAGAACATTGTATACATAATAAATAAAATCTTTAAAAAAAAAAAAAAGCTCCTCCAGGAACTGGACCCTGATTTGGCCTCCCTCTAGCAATGGGGTCTGATAATAGCCTAGCTTTCACAGTCAAAACCCTCTCAATTACTAGCTAAAGCGTTAGACGTAGATTGAAAACTTCATTGTGCATACAGACTTCAGAGTTCTGGACAGGTAAAAAGGAGAAACGGGATGTTAAGAGAAATTCTAACAAGTCTCTCATTGGAGTCCAGCAAACGATGGCTAGGCTTCCTTCCTTCGCTTTGCTTAGCCTGCTGCACCCCATATAGGGAGGGATTTACCCGCTATGAGACTATGTTTGGAAGACCTCCCCAGCTGCTTCCCAGGCTCACAGACCAGCAGTTGGCAGAACTCTCTAATCAATCCTTTCACAAGTCACTACAGTTCCTCCAGTCCTCTACACAGGCTATTCACTGGACTATCTGAAAGACCCAGTTGATCTGTGAGTCCACCACAAGTTTCCCCTTGTTCAAGTTCAGTGATACCATTGGTGTCAAGCGAGTAGCCAAAGGGGCACTTAAACTAGCCTGGAACGGGCCCTACAAAGAGATTCTCTCCACTGATGATGATGGTGAAGGTAGCTGGCATCACACCATGGATCCACCACACCCAGGTCAAGAAAGAAGAAGCCACAGATGTTGCTACCAATGGACCATCTCTGGACTATGGCCCCATTGACATGAAGGTTTCATGGGGTCCAGGTCCTTCACCCCCTTCCCCTCCACTTCATCCTGAATCTTGTGTTTTGCACTATGGGTATGAAGACAGGACATGATCCAACCCCCACTGCCCTTAGGCCTGAACTGGAAACTGAGGAAGACAGATATGGGGGAAGTATTAGCTAGTGTGACTACAGACCAACAACCCATATTCCATCTTGACCTTTGATCATTGAGACCCACTTCAAATATCTGGTTGTGTTAGAGAAAAGGAAAGATGGGAATTTGTCTTCTGAGATAGGAATACTGAGTTTACAACTCTATGCAAGCCCTACAGCTGGGCCCCCTAGTTTCCAGAAACAAGGGAGTTTCCATTGTAAAAACTGGAGTTGTAAAACTGAGGCTTCCTGAAAAATTCCCTTAAAAAGATTCTGGCCTTGGGGAATCAGGAAAAACCTGGGGAATCAGACTCCATGCCACAGGAAGGGACCCTAGGGATAGAGTTTATCACTCTCAGTCAGAAATCAGCCAGAATTGCTGGTTATGCTTAGACACCCGGCCCCTGTACTACACAGGAATAGGAAGAAACCAGACTGTCAGCCCATTGACTGACAACTCTCTGTGACAGATTAATGTTTGAGGACTTTTCAAGGCGCTGAAACTTGTCTAATTTCCCAAACCTTTAATCTAGGCACTTCCCCTTATTCTAATACCTGCTATTCTACTCTGACTTATGTGTTAATTCGTCTGGATAACAGCAATATTACCAAGCCCCTGAGACTACTTAGTGGGCATGTGCCAATGGTTTGACTAAATGTGTGTCTTCTGCTGCTTTTCCAAACTAAGTAGACATGTTGATCAGGACCTGGAGGTATTAAAACAACAGTTAGAAACCCTTGCAGAAATGTTCCTACACAATTAGAGGAGGGTCTTAGACTTCCCATGAGACAAAGGAAACTGTGTATGGCTTTGGGAGAAACCTGTTGTTTCTATGCTAACTGATAAGAAGTAATCAGAAAAAAAACTTTTACCATGATTAAAAAAGAGACAGAAACATAGAACAAATAATTGCTAACAGTCTCTGTTCTCTTAGTCCCCCTAACTAACTACTCTACCAACACTGGGTGGGCCTTTAACTCTCATTCTGAATGGATTAAGGGAGAGGTACTTCATCATTTTTTTTGATTTATTTATTATTTCAAGTTAGGGAACAAGCTTGTTTCACATGTAAATCACTTCTCTCTCTCCCTCCCTTCACTCCTATCCTTCCTCCCCCACTCCCAACCTACCCCCCACCCCATCCACCCACCACTCCCCAGGCAGGGTAGGGCCCTCCACGGGGGCCCTGC